CTGAGTAGTGGATGAGGCGATCAAGACTGAAGGTCCTCATCACTGTTGTCATTTCTTTGCATTGTTGGCTTTGCTTCTTAATCAGGCGGAGTCCATAGTTGGGGATGAGGTGCTCAAGGACGAGGGGTGTCGTCGAGGTGTTTGACCAACCCGATTTCGTAGTGTTGCACGCATCTTCAAAATGTTTTCCTAACGGTGCTTTTAGCTAGTTAAGGGGTCTGGCCGAGGGTGGCCTCGAGCTACTTATGTGTCCATGAGTGTGTGGGACATGGTCCTAAGCCCATATATTCTATCAGGAGCTAGCCCCCACTATTTGAAACGAGAATTCTCAAGGTTAAGGGAGTAGAACTTCAAGCTGATCTTCTTTTGTTGTTTGAAATTTTGTTTGTTTTCAATTTTGAGGCCGAGGTGCATGTAGTCACCCAACCCCCACTCCTTCAAGGCGAGTGAAACAAAAGACGAAGGAGTAGATATCTGTAAGGTGGGGTGCATCCCTGAAATTGAGGCAAGGATCCAGTCTGTTTAATGAATCCTGACTAAGGCAACCCTATGGGAGAATCTGTGGTCAAAGGGTATTGGCCTGAGACTATCACGGAAGGCCGAAGATAGGGTGTAATATGTTTGTTGGATGTTACTAATTTGAGCTGACTGGTTGCTCACTATTGTTGGTAGTTTCCTACTAGGCGAAGGTTTACTCTGACTGGATCATTGCTAAGCATCGACGAGGGGGGGTCCTCATAGTGTAATCGAGATGCCTAGTGTGAGTAGTTAGAGTATGAGTTTGATTTATATGACCCGTAGGGCCAATTGGTAGTTGTGTGATGCCTACGAAGGTCCTTGTTTGGATGTTTTTTGTGGTGTGTTGGACTTCCAGAGAAGCGCCAAGGTGTATCGTGTTTTGAATGTGGGCTGAGAGCTAGGGTTCCATGGTTTTAGCGTTGGTGAGGAGTGTGACATGTGTCAGGGGCTAATTGGGTGGAAGTTCTGCGGAGGCCTCGATTTGTACCGAGGGAATCCAAATGGCTGACAAGTGCAATGACCGTTGGTAAGCAATCATTACTCTCTCTTTATAAACCCCCCTTTCACGCTAACTTTTTTTACGCTTTCCTGATTTAGATAAGAAGTGCTGCCCAGTTTTCCAGAAAGAAAATTTCTATTGTTCTTCTTGATTTAGAGCCAAGACCATAGTTGTTTAAGTGGTGGAAATGTCATCGGCCTTTGATTCCCAAAAATATTATTTGGGATGCTTGTTGTGTCATTGCACGTTGAGTCAAAGGAGTGGTATGCATCTGAGAAAGGAGACGATGTGTGACAGCCTAAGGTTTCTCAGAGGACCATTGATGAGTTCATTGCTTGGCTTGATGCTGAGACTGATGATGATGACAAGGAGGAGGCTGTTGCGGGAGACGGGGGTGATTTAGAGCGTTGGCAAGGTGAGTCCTCGACGTCGGGACGATGTCCATGCTCTACTCCAACTTTTTTCTGTTCCCGAGGCCGATGGGCGGGTCAAGAAACCAAGAATCGGGGGCGTCCTTCGCCGCGTGTAGGTCAGTGTTTTCCTTCTTGGACTGCTCCAAGATGTTGATCATTCGGCGAGATGACGAAACATGCGATTTGCACCTCCCGTAAATGTTCATTGATCCATTTGTGGGAATTCATGAGCCAAGACCGACAAATAATGTGTTGCATCCGCCGAAGGGTTACTTCTGGGGGGGGGGGGGGGGTATCCTTTGGCTGTGTCAAAGGGTTTGAGATTTCTCCTTCATCCGTTTATGGTGGAGTATTTCAAGTTTACTAGCATCTGGTTAGTTTGGAAGTGTCACAATGATACCATCAAAACACAAGATATTTGACGGATAAATTCTTATTAAAAAAATATAATTTTCCTGTTCCGTAACGGCGAGATTTTTGGAATTTTCTCAACTTTAGTGTCATGTAACCAAATTTTTAAGTAAGTTTATAAAAACGATCCTCCGAGACTTCTTTCTGTAATTCATTTGAATTAAATTTTAGTGTTTCCCTTTTACATATCACTTTACTAGAAAATTGCACGTTTATGTTCACTAATGAGATCATTTCCCCTTGACGTCCAAAAAGGTTGAATCCCCAACCCCAAGGGCATCCTCACTCCGACCCGACAGGATGGTGGGGGAGTAAATCACGGTGACTCAGTCGGCAAAGCGGCAGTAGGCCTTTACCCGTGCGCACCAGAGGGCCAGCCTTATTTCAGGTTCTGAAAACCTCCTTTTGGCCGCTGCGGGATTCGAACCTTGGTCTACGTCCAATTTTTCCCACCGCTCGACCAACTGAGCTACCCGTGCGGGTCGATCATTTCCCCTTGAGATACTATCTTCGTCCCTAAATGTTCTTCCAATTCTGGGTTACGAAGTTTGAGAAGTGATAAAGTTAAATGATCCATGTGAAAACTCGAATTATTTTTAATAAATAAAATTTACATATTCAGAAACTACATTAAAACCACTACAAAGCATGCAAAAAATAATTTAATTTTCATAAAATTTTGATATATAAAGTAAGAGTTTAAAAGTGATTTAAGTTGACTCTCGAGAAACGTAATGAAAGTTCTCTTAGGAACAAAGGGAACACTTTTTTATGAAAATCGCACTAGACTTATATATATAGATATAGAATTCATATCAAATGAGAATAATTACTCCGTGTGATATAAAAAGAGATAAAAATAAATTTACTGTACTAGATTTGATGTGTCTTTTCGCTCACTAGTTTTATTTTAATCATTTCCGTTTTATCTTATCGGTCCGTCCCACTAAGATTGTCTCATATCAAATTTGGCAAAGTTTGTGTGGCTCTAAATCATTCTTACTTTATTCTTACTTTATCAATTTAATATCAACCACACAAACCCATTTTTCTTAATAATCGTGCCACCTTCTCTCGTCCCAATCTTAGTGGGACGGATGTAGTATATGTTTGGTATGTCAATTTTTAAGAGCTTTTATAAAAATAAAAGGTTTTTTTTGAGATGTTACAGTGAGTAACATCTCATATAAGTTTGTAGCTTCTAGCATTAATTAGTCTCGACAACTTGTACACCATACATAGCTAAATCAAACAGTTAGCTTTTTATCAAACAGTTACTACTTTTTTTAAGATCTTTTCAGTGACTAAAAACTAACAATTACTAAAAAGCTCATAAAAGTATCTTTTCGGCTACTTGTGCCAAACATGCCCATAGAGCGTGTTTGGTAAACACTGAAATCGGTCATTTTTGCTGATATTTATGAAGTTCTTGTTGAAGTGGCTGTATTGACTGATTCTGCTGGTTTATGAAAAAATTAACAGTTAAAATGACCGTAACTTTAACCAATACAGCCAGAAAGTAATCGCAATTTTACTTTTTCTGATTATTACATAATTCAGCGCGCGAAATCAAAAGTTACGTATTTGATGAAAAAATTGGCTAATAAGTCAGAAAACAGGCTCATAATCTTTGTTTCTAATGATTAAACACGAATATTTAACTTATAATTGTATTAAGGTAACTGAATAAATCATACGAAGTATTAATTAAATGATTAATGTAGACCAAATCATACTTTAATTTCAATAATAAATTAATTAAACCAAACCGAGTCTCATAATTGAATCCGAAACCTGGAAAATCAACGAGATAGATTCAGCGTGGCTGTAGAATGTGGGCATTGATGGAGGGACACGTTACATGAAATCTTTGCAAGTGATATTTTCTGTGTGAAAACTCCCTTCTATGTATTGTAGTGTATGTTCGAAGTATGGGAATATGGACTTTCAAAAAGCATACGACTTTTTCATTTAAACCAAAAAGAAGATTGACAAAAAGTACAAAAGATCTCCATTATTATATGGTGGATCTGTAGTGGAGGTGCTAATCCAATTCACAAATCGGACCAAACATCGTCCGTATATTATTACTTCCTCCTCCCGCAAATAACTTCCCGCTTTCCTTTTTTAGCAGTCCCAAAAGAAGTTCTCATTTCCCTAAATGATAAGTTATCTACATCAAAATAATGCCAAACAGTGCGAAACAGTGTCAAACAGTGTCGAAATAGTGTCAAAACAGTAAAATTTACCCCTGGTAAGTTTATTTCCTTAATATGTGTGTATGTCAAATCGGGAAGTTCTTTGCGAGACGGAGGGAGTACTTTCTACTTCCCCCTTTTTATTTTACTTTTCTGATTGTTTTATGATGACAATATTCCATTCACACCAATATTTCGCTCTATGGTTGTGGAGGTTATAGTGGCCTAGATTGTTAAACATAGTACCGTAATATTTTATTAAATATTAAAAATAATAGATTTATAACACAGTTATCAATACTAACTACATTATAATATATACCTATTAAAATTATTTCTCAAAATATATTTGAAGTATTTTATTTAATTATTGTCTAAATAATTGTTCCGTTTTGCTATGCGAACCTTTGAACGGGACGGAGGTAGTAACATTTTATAAAATAAAAAATTATTTGCCACATGGCAACAAGTTATTGGGGGAAGAGTAAATTTAACATTAATATGGGGTAGACCGTGTTTTCTAGGAGAAGATCAATTTTGTTTAGTTTTAATTTAATAAAGTTAGATAAAGTAAAAATGGGGGTGCACAAAGCAACCCCATCATTAAATACTCCATCCGGTTCTTATTTAAGTTTCCAGTTTGACTTCACACATATTAAGAAAATGAATTTGACTTTACTGTGGAGTGCACTGTTTGAAACTGTTTGGCACTGTTTGGACACTGTTTGGCACTGTTTGGCACTGTTTTGCACTGTTTTGTTTCCTAAAATGGAAGTGTGAACTTAAATAAGGGACATCCCAAAAAGGAAAGTGAGAACTTTAATAAGAACCAAAGGGAGTAGTTGGTAAATAGTTTTGTAGTTTTTGCTTGCTTTAATTTAATTTTTCGTTACCGAATCTATGATGACATTTTGGTTTTTAAAGCTGTACTACGTATTATTTTAGTCTGTCCCTCTAGTAGGGTTTTCTCTCCGTCAATTTTGTGTGACTTCTTTTTCTTCAAATTGACGGGGCGTTGACTCCATGGATGCTGACGGGAGTACGACAGGGGCAAGAGGGACGCTGCAGCCGCTCGATCAACAGCGAAGGAACGACGCCAACAAGCGGTGGATAGATGGAACAATGAATCGAGGAACACATTGAGGAGGTTTTTCCGGTGATTGATTCGGCTCTTTCAGCCGCGTCAGCCATAACGCGCGTGCAGATGAAGGTTGCTCATCAGGAATCCAACTACCAAGGGATTTGTGGACGGATGGAAGCAGAGCCTTGTGCGCTAGAGTTTGGAGTCGTGTCTTGTCCGCCGCGTCAACAATCATAGCAATGGTCTGGCCTCCTTCTGAACCACCGCCAGAGGTTGAATGAAGTGCTAGGGTTCAAGAAATTTATTTTGCTCATTTAGTTTTCCTCATGCTCCGTTTTTATTTGGATCTTTACTCTGTTTTGGTTGTGCTGTGTTTTTCGAGCAAAAAAACTTTAGAACTTAGGTCAGGAGACGAGGAGTCTGGTCTGCAAGTCATTGGCTCAGTTAAGTCCAAAGCGGGATCGGCAAATTATTTTTCTTTTACGGAGGTGATTAATTCTAATTTTGGTTCTGAGGCGGATGACAGACATAAGAAGTTTTGTCATTTTGTAACCTGCTTAAGTTCTGTTAAAAAAACGTGTATTATTTTAGATTTAGTTTTTCAATATCTAATTTTAGTTTGGAAAGAATGATCCTGATCTATTTGGATGTAATTATTTTCCATACTTTTTGGGTGTAAAATTGATAATAAGTCTCTATGTAAAGAAACACCACATTGTAAATTGTAATCACAATCGTATTACGGTTGAAAATGAAGCATCAAATTAAGTCAGTTGATTACATTACGTTCGTTACATTTTTTGTCACATACCAACATAAGTACTCGAACTCAGCTATAGATCAAGTCCCTCACGCCTCTTTTTGGATTTTTTTAATAATGTGATGTTTTTGTAAATGTCTCCTCAATTTTCAGTATATGCAGATCCCAAATTAATTAAATCTGTTTTTATCAGTGTACAAACAAACACCGTGGAAGATTATTTTTCGTTGTAGTTTCAAGAAGGATAATATTCTTGCTCGTTATTGCAACTCTAACAACTAAATTATTTTGTTCACTCGTCGGTACACTTGGGCATGGAGACTAATGTTTAGGGACATATCTTTCATTTGGACTAGGTGATCCCAACTTCGTCGGACTAAGGATGTTTTTACTTGGAATGTAATTTGCTGGTCTGGTCTGGTCTGGTTTGGTCTGATTTGGTCTGGTTTCTTTGTATTATTATAACTATCTGATCTGGTCTGGTCTGATCTGGTCTGGTCTGGTCTAGTCTGGAATGAATTACAGTCCAAGTAAAAATATCCTAATCCCATGCTTCCAAAAACCCACTCCAAAGTTTCGAGAGAAGTAAATCTGAGTCGTTGAAAATAATTCTCACAATACCCGTCGTTATCTATACACTATCACACACAAAAACTCGCTCTAAATTGATTGGTCAAAAACCATCAGGTTCCAACAAGAAGCCTACTTCCACAATGTCACTTGAGGGTAAACGAAACGGTAGTTGTACGAGCATTCAAGTTAGCTCCAAAGCTAGATGATTATCATTTAAAAAAACCTTACAAGTTACAACTTTACATCTTTGATTACAAAAAAAAACTCAAGATCTCCCACAAAAGGATCTTATGCATGAGAGTTAGTCCACTTGGACCACTCCCATTTATAACTCATCACATAAATTAGGGGTATAGGAGAGACAACTAATGTGTGGACATATAATAGTTATTTGTATCAATGCATTACTTATCTTGGAAATTGAGAGCATATTTAGTAATGACCGCAACAACTGAGAGTCCGTTTGATAAACATGTTTTTTGGCTTTTCAGGCTTATCAGCCAACTTGTCATGAAACACGTAACTTTTGATTTCACGCGCTGAATTGTTTAATAATAAGAAAAATTAAGGTTGAAGTTACTTTTCTGGTTGTATTGGCTGAAGTTACCGTAGAGGAAAATTTTAACTATTTTTACATATATATTTTCTTTATTTTATTAATAAAATATATTTTCAATGTAATTTTTCACAAATAAGCAGAATAAGCTAATTTAGCCACTTCACCAAGAATTTCATAAGTTTCAGCAGAATCAACTGATTCGACCGATTTTGGTATTACCATATTACAAGCTCTGAAATTACTAAAAAGGCTAAAAAGTCTAAAATTACTGAAGTGAAAGTGTTTGGTTAGTTCCTTTTGTACTAATTAAATTACTCCTCAGTCTACAATCAACAACACATACGGAGTACATAATATAGCACTCGTAGTTAAGTACAATCATAAAGAATTAGTGGTGAGTAATGTTAGTTAAGTTTGTAGGAGAGTTCAGACTTTAGAGTGTACTACATTGTACGTTCCAGCCAATTTATCAGTTATTAGTGGTTCTAATTAAAGGAACAATAAAATGGTAAAGAAACAAAGAGGACAAATTAGTTACACGACATAGGCTAAAAAGTCACAGCTCAACAGTGATAGAAGCCCCCCTATTTATTCTCAATAAATTAGGAAACCTCCTCTTCACATCCCCACTTCTCCACTGCCAAGCTACCTCATTCTTTGCCGGTGGAAGGCAATTAATTCCTTCCAAAGTATTCATTTCAATACACAGTCTAAGTTTCTGACCATTTTCAGTTCATACTCATTCTACAGGAAAGAAAATCTACACACACAAAAGCAAAAATGGCTGTTCTTGAACTTCTTTTAGTGGGAATTATGGCCGTATTGTCTCCGGTGCATGGGTACGGCGGCTGGAGCAAAGCCCGCGCCACATTCTACGGCGGGGGCGATGCCTCGGGAACAATGGGTATGTTGCCCTTTTACATACAACAATTTTATTAAGATTTATGATTCTCGTTTAATTTTCGCGTTTTCGTGCAACATAGTCATAATCTCTAATTTATAATGAACAGGTGGAGCATGTGGATATGGGAACCTATACAGCTCAGGCTATGGAACCAACACTGCAGCATTGAGCACTCCTCTGTTTAACAATGGCCTGAGCTGTGGATCCTGCTACCAGATAATGTGCGTCAATGATCGGTCATGCGTTCGAGGAATTATTACCGTCACTGCCACAAATTTCTGCCCCCCGGGGGGCTGGTGTGAGCCTCCAAACCCTCACTTTGATCTGTCTCAGCCTGTCTTCCTAAGAATTGCACAATACAATGCAGGGGTTGTTCCTGTTTCTTACCGAAGGTAAAATCTTACTTCATCCCACACTATCACGGTAGATCTTAAGTGGCAGTTACGGTTATAGCTGTCGAAGCAGTGTGGATTAATTTTATGTTCAAACCAAATAAGGGGCGTTTTGATTTGATTCTTAAAACTTTTTTGCTCCTTCACGGAGCAGAAGCAGAAGTTGGAGTATTTGGATAAAAGTGCAGAAGTGTTTCTGTTGCTCTAATTTACTTCTAGAATCAGTCTTTTTAGAAGCTGGGGTGACCAGCTTCTGAAAACTGATTCTGGTTCTGTTTCTGCTTTAAAAAAGAAGAGAATCAGTTCCAAACACCCCCAAGTAAAAAATCAAGTTACTCTTCTATTAAGTTGCAGGCGTGAGGGGCGTAGGTAGAGGTGGACCATGTTAAGTCCATGCCCACCCGAAGTAAAAACTCTTTATACCACCTCATGTAGTATTTACTTCCTAGTTAAGTTTAATACTCTCTCCCTTCCATAAAATAAGTCTCACTTTACTTACCGAATCTTATATATATACTCTCATTAGGACTCAAGTTTCAACTTCATAGGAGTAATAATCTAGATTTTAATTGTCAGCTAAGTTCTTTTCTTTATATATACTCCAAGACACCAACATAAATTGTCAGCTAAGTTCTTTTCTTTATGAATGTGGCAGGGTGCCCTGCATGAGAAGGGGAGGAATCAGGTTCACCGTGAACGGACACGCTTTCTTCAACCTAGTACTGGTCACAAACGTCGGAGGTTCCGGCGACGTGCACGCCGTGTACATAAAAGGATCGAAAACAGGGTGGCAGATGATGTCAAGAAACTGGGGACAGAACTGGCAGAGCAATGCCAACCTTAACGGCCAAAGCCTCTCTTTCAGGGTGGTTACCGGCGACGGCCGCAGTCTTGTGTCCTACAACGTCGCTCCTCCGTCGTGGTGCTTCGGTCAGACCTACACCGGCCGCCAGTTCCGCCTGACTTAGCTGCCCGGAAAAAGGAAACCCGTCCTCTGTTTCCCATCAGATCCCCACTTGCCGGAAGGAAATCATATTTTTATTACTCCATTTTTTAAAGGGATTAGTTTTGGATAAGTCCTTTTAATTTACTCTTTTTAGCCATGCCAAAAATTGGCCTGGCGATTTATTTTATCAACAAGAGACAGGTGGTGTTGTACGCGTGAGGATTAATTTACTACTATTGTTGTTAATTAATGTTATGCAGAAAAAACCTATCTGCATAGCTGTGGAAAGGCATAAAATTCTCATCATTTCTGTTTGTAATTAGTAAGTAATAAATAGGATTAAGGGGTAATCAGCTCATGCTGAGATTGGAGGCACTCGTCTGTTGTACTTTTGGAGCAATGGGTTGTGAAGGTATGATGAAAGAAGCCTTCCATGCCGGCCGGCCAGGAGCTTATTCTGATTTTTCATTCTCATATGTGAACTTATGAAGTGTAATGTTATTGTAATTCTATTACTATCATCGAAAAATAATTTTGAAGTTTTAGGATGGAGTTTCAGGTCATAATGACGCACAATTTAGAGGAAATGTCTAATTTTGAGAAGGGGTGTTGAACTTCCACACCAGTAAAATATGAAGTAATAAAATGTTATACTGAGATTCTGGGTTACGATCCTCCTATCAGTGTGAGATGTATCTAGGTTGAGATGGAACCCATATCTAAACAATAATGTAACCAGCTTCTAAGTACTCCCTCTGTTTCACTAACAATGAGACAAGAGGGAGTGCCACACAAATAAAAAAAGTAGTGTATATGGTTGATATCGAATTGATAAAATTAAAATAAATTAAAGAATTATTTAGTCACACAAACTTTATTAAATTTGGTATCAGACAATCTTAGTGAGACAAACCGAAAAGATAAAATGAGACAATTTTAGCGGAACGGAGGAAGTATTAGAGATAATAATAAAGGAACCGTAATATTGGCGTGGAAGTTATATACTCCGTAGTCCGTAGTACGTCAAATTAGTAAGTACTAGTACAAACCTTTAACATTACACAGCCAAAAGTGGCTGCTTTTTATAATAAAGGAATTCTAAAATTGGCGTAAGTAAATCAAAGAGCAGGGAAAATGCTTAGTGTACATGAGTTGTACACAAACGTTACACAAAACTCCCTAGTTACCTGTGTACACATGCAATTTATTTAGAAAAGGGTAAAATTTGATACTCAATTGTCTATGTACACATGCATTTTGTGTACATCTTGTGTACACCAAGCATGGTCCAACGAGTAGTATGTGCTACCAAATTTCTAAAGAAAAAACTACTCCGTATTTGATTAATTTTTTTTTGATATAATGTTCTAATCAATTCATTTTGGCCATGAAATCCACATAAGCTAATCTATTAAGCATTTTTTCCTTGTCTAACATATAAATTTTGTAACAACGAAGAATCAGTTAAATTCCTAAATCATGTACGTAGTATATCTTTTCGCATAATTTGAGTGCTTGTGGTTAATCAAAGAAACATTTTGCAATTTTAGATAATACTTATGTGATTATTGATTTTGAATTTAATATGATATTTTTTGGTTTTAAAAAAAAAATAATACGGAGTACTAAAGTGAAATATATTTACACAAATGTAAATATTAG